TGTGGCGTCCCAAGCCAGCTCTTAACCATTGCGTCACTCGATCGGCCCTGAAAAATTAAGATTTTGAAAGCAGAAGATCTATACATTTTAGAATTTGATGATTCTTTAGCTTAACTTCCCTGCTCATTTATACTGGTCAGGGAAGGAAACAAATTACTCTTCACTGGGTATCTATTTTAGCTGTAATACTTATTGAAAAATAAAAACACAATTATATTAAGGATCTGTTTATATTTCTGTCAAGATTAATCCGAACTAAGCTATATCAGATATAACATTTCTTGTCTCATTTGAAGACACATTTATCAGAATTATTTCATCAGAAACACTAATTCAGTCACTTGATTTGTTAGCTCTATTTAATCATGTAGTCACTTAATGCTTCATTAATTCACTCAAGTCTTTATTAAGCATCTATTATGTGCCAAGCATGATATTACATGCTAGATAGTTAGAAGTGAACAAAACATGTCACATTGTCATACTCTTAGCCTTTTGATCTACTGCTTTCTTAGTTCAACATGCTCCCTCCCCTCTCCTGCCACTCATACTCCGTGGAAACAAATTCGGAAGCCCTGTACTCTGTGAAACCTTCCCTGGAACCTACCTACAGAGTTAATCATTAATTTCTTTCTTTAAATTCTGTGTTTTGTACCTATGTCAATTTTAGATTAATTTTTTTTTGTTTATGTGTCTGTCACATCTATTAGCCTGAGATGTCCCATGTGCATGGAATGTGTCTATCCTGATTTTGATGTGGCTCTTCTGCAATCTTAGGTATCTTATAATTATGTCTGTCATAGCACTTTCCACAATGAACTCTAATAGATTGGATACTGAGCTCTGTAAGGGATAGACACATATTAGAAATTATTTCATCTTGTTTCTCTAATGTAAAAGATATTCCACAGCATATATTGAATGTTCAAGTCTCTGTTAATTTTTTTTTTTAACAATTAGCTGTGTTTTTTTGTGTGTGTGTTTTTTTTTTAATTGGGGAATTGGGGGGATGGGAACAGCGCTGGGGAATTGGGGAAAGGGGAACAGACAAGTTGCTGTCGTTTTGTTCTTCAATCTACTTATGGAGGATGTTGCTTCACTGGCCCAAGTTGGCACCATCATTGCGCTCTTCCCTGGAGAGGCATATCAGTCGCCGGCTTCTGGACGGCCGCTCACTGCGGCTGCTGGCTGCTCACGCTGGCTGCTGGCCACACACGGTAGCCCATGGCAATCCACTGCCACAGGGACTGCAGCCCACGCCGTCGCCGGCGACTCACGGCAGCCCAGCTCCAGGTTGAGCTGTTGTTCAGCATCTTAGCTGTAGAGGGCAGTGTCTCTGGCCCTCATATGTGGGATCCGAACCGAGGCCCTCTGGCATCCCAAGCGAGTTCTTAACCATCGCGTCACTCGGCCGGCTCAAGTCTCTGTTAATTTTTGACAAGGGTTCCAAGAACATTCAATGGGAAAGAACAGTCTGTTCAACAAATGGTACTGGGACAACTGGATATCCCGATGCAAAAGAGTGAAGTTGGATAGATAAAACACAAACGACAACAAAACCTAACTTACAAGAGCTAAACCAATAAAACTCTCAGAATATAACACAGGGATAAATCTTCAATGGATTCTTAGGTATTACACCAAAAGCACTGGCAATAACAGAAAAAAACAGATCAATCAGAATTCATTAAATTAAAAAATGGACAAAGAAGTTAAATAAACATTTTTCTAAAGAAGATTTTAATAGCCAATAAGCACATGAAGAGTTGCTCAACATTATTAATCGTTATGGAAATGAAAATCAAACCCATACCCAGTAGGATGGCTATAGTCAGAAAAAGAAAAAAATAAGTGTTGTTGAGAATATGGAGAAACTGGAACCCTTGTGCACTACTGGTAGGAATGCAAAATGGTTCAGCTGCTGTGGAAAACTGTTTGCTAGCTCCTCAAAAAGTTAAACATAAAATCACCATATGACCGTGTAATGTTACTGTTAGGCATATATCCCAAATACCTGAAAATAGATACTCAAACATATACTTTACACAAATGTCCATAGCAACATTATTCACAAGAGCCAAAAGGTGAAAAGAGCCCAAATGTCTAACGGATGAATGGATAAACAAACTACGGTATTCACATACAGTAGAATATTTTTTTTTCTTTAAAGATTTTATTGGAGAATTGGGGGAGGGGAACAGTGTTGGGGAGTTGGGGAAGGGGACCAGCCAAATTGTAGGTCTTCAGTCTTCGCTGTGGAGGGTGCCAGTCACCATCAGGCTTCCCATCGGCAGCTTGTGGCCTCTAAGCTCAAGGTGCTGTGTTCAATCTTAGTTGCGGGTAGGCATAGCCACCATCCCATGGGGGAGTCGAACCAGCAGCCTTGTTGTTAAGAGCGCACGCTCTATCCACTGAGCCATCCGGGCAGCAGCTCAGCTCAAGGTGCCGAGTTCAGTCTTAGTTGCGGGTGGGCATAGCCACCATCCCATGTGGGAGTCAAACCCGGCAGCCTTGTTGTTAAGAGTGCATGCCCTATCCATTGAGCTATCCGGGCAGCAGCTCAGCTCAAGGTGCTGAGTTTAGTCTTAGTTGTTGGTGGGTGTAGCCCACCATCAAACAGGCAACCTTGTTGTTACACCAGCTGAGCCATCATGCCACCTGTTGGCAGCTCAGCGTCAGCTCAGCTTGAGCGCAGCATCACTGGCCCATGTGGGAATTGAACCGGCGGCCCTATTGCTCAGAGCCCACGCTCTTAAGTCAACTCTTAGCCAACTGAGTCATTCCGCTGGCCTTACAGTAGAACAGTATCCATCAATAAAAAAGAATGAAGTATTGACACATGCATGCTACAATGTAGATAAACTTCCAAAACATTATTAAGTAAATGAGCCAGACACAAAGCATCATATGAATCCCTTTATATGAAACAAGTAGAATAGATAAATCTATGGAGACAGAAAGCAGACTGATGATTGCCAGGGCCAGTGAGAAGAGAGAGGGGTGCAGAGAAACTACTTAATGGGTAAGGGGTTTTAGTTTGGGAACTAGACATAGGTTATAGACAGAGGTGATGGTTACACAGTATCGTGAATGTAGGAAATGCCACTAAATTGTTCACTTTCAATGGTTGATTTTACATTATGTGAATTTCAAACTCAATCAATTATTAAAGCACACACACACACACACACACACACACACACACACACACACAGAATGAACAAGAGAGATATAGCTGAGTTAAGGTTAGACGGTCATAACGTTTCCTGATTAGATAAGGCTCATCTTCTTTGTCCATAATAGAATTTGTTAAGTTTTGTAAGCTGGTACTATCTAAACCTGAAAAATGAGTGAAGTAGAGGAATGAGAGGACTTGATCCTGGCGAATATCCTGTGATGTTTGGATACCAGGAACGGTGTACTGGATGTGTTGTATGCACCCAGATCCTTTCTTCATGACCAAAACACTCATTACTCCTTTTCAGGGACTGCTGCCTACTGATGGCTCAATAATCACATTCATCTCCTGAAGTGTACCTTCAGGAGAGAGGTTTTTCACCCAAATATACACCCCTCCCCAGGGGCACATTCAATCATTTGTCAGTGAAGGGCGATAATTATACCTTTTATATCATGAAAGCACTTAGTGCTAGGGATAAATCAATGGACAGGATGGTGATGATCTCCGTCCTGGGTTCTAGACAAAGTACATAGATATTACAATTAAATATGCTAAGTGATGCGGTAAGAGCACACAGAAAGGGAACCTCACCTTCTCTCATGGGGGTTCAGGGAAGACTTCCTGGAAAATGTGATGTCTATTCTGAGGCTTGATGAGGCAAATGGGAAGGGTGGGGTAAGCGAGTTTCAGACAAAGAGATGATCACATACGAAAGCCTAGTAGCAAGTGACAATCATATTTTCAGGAAGCTTATTATGAATAGAGCACAATGATGTTAGAAAAGAATGTGAGTACCTGAAAAAGGAAGAACCTTATAAGGAATACAGACTACCACTTACTATTTGGCTTTAGGAAAATTATTTGTCTTGTCTAGGCCTTAGTTACTTCATGGGTTTAGGGAAAACAGTTCTTACCTCTACCATTATCGTGAAATTAGGTAAAGAGATAAGCATTATATAACCTATTATTACATTACAATTATTAATACGAAGACATGGATAAATACAGTTTTGGTGGTAAACAGAGCCCCAAAGCAATCAGCATTGCAAAAGGCATATAATAAAGTCTGCACACAATGTTTTAAAGAAATCCAATCAATAAACCACCATGGTAAGTTATAAGTAACAGATTTTACTGAATCTTATAAATTAAAAAAAAAAGATGAAAAATAATTAACACTTACTTAAAATCATACAAATTATTTACAATATACAAAGTATATTTTTTACAATATAAAAGTATCTTTAATGCCCAGCACCATTGTTCGGGTAAGAGTTCTGCCTTTCTGATGAGAGCTATGAATAGCCCAGATAAGACGGCAGTGGCTCTCTACAAATCCTATAGCTCAAATTCAAGGCTAATTCCTTTTAAAATGTTTTCTGTGAACATAGTTGATTTTAATTAAAGTGGACTAAAAAACCCAACACAGAACCATTGTTGCTTTTCTCATCTTATTATTATAAGCAGAAAGGAGAAACTTAAAAAAAAAAACCCTAACCTTGAATATAATGGATTTCAAAGGAAAATGTGAATGTATCCTTAGTCTGAAGTGGAACCTTGCATCAAACAGCAAGCTTTGAAAAAAAAAGAAAGCTGATACTATCTTAAATTTGTAATAATTACAGTATAACAATAGTAAGACTAGCAGGTTTCCAAGCAAAATCATCAGCTACAATTACAAAATATATTTTATGTTTGTCATGAAATGCAGATGCAATGCCAAAACACTTAGATTGATCATGCTACAGATGATATCACCAACTGTTCTTCTGGCAATGAAATACTAGAAAGTGGAAAAAGTTTCTCAATCATTTCCTACCTGCTGGCCATATTCCACTCCAGGGCTGGATTTTGAGAATTTCTCTCACTCTCTGTCAGCACCCCTCCTGTGCCACTTTCCTTCTCTGGTTTTAGTTGATCCCACTGTGCAGTACCAATATTGATAGACTGCAGATCTATTTGGTATTGTCTGTCTTCAATTTCTGATCCAGGGTCTCGAAGAATTCCTAAGTTCAAGGCTCTCCTGTAAAGACAGTGGGAAAAAGTAAACAGATAAATATTCTGTTTACTTTGTTCACTAACATAGTATCATTAATTTTTTTTCTTTGGATCACTGATGAATACACTGGGTTAACCAAATATATTAGGAAGCTATTAGAAAGGTACCACATATTAAAACTTGTAAATGTACAAAACTTATCGCTTACAGTAATCTACCTTATAATGACTTCTTATGTTAGTCCCAGCACTGTAGTGTTTTTCTAAGTACTTTCACATACACGATTTCAATCCTTGAGATGATGAGGTTCTATTATTATCTCCATTTTTACTAAAGAAAATAATTCAGAGAGGTTGAAAGACTTAGCCAAAGATACCCAGCTAGTATGTGACAAAACTACAACCTAAAACCAGTTTTTTTTTTTACCCAAAACCCAGTCTTCTTTCCAGTGCTAATAACCCACTTTCTTCAGTCCTTTGATGTCTTGTTAGGAAAAGTGATGGAGCCTTGTTAACCTATTTCATTCCCCTACCCTTTGCCTTCGGTTCTTTATATTCATGTAGACTTCATTGTTGAGAAGACTACGTTGTTTCCTGATATAGACAGGCAGTGAGGACTACTGGTCCATACAGAGTTGGGGCTTGGATCTTACTGGACCCAATGCTAAGTAAAGGAATAAAACTATCAGTAGCTTAACGTTAAATTGGAGGAAGTAAATGGTTAAATTTTTTGTGAAGGTTTTACAATGAAAATAGGAAGGCAACATGGTAAGGTGGTAAGAACAGCGAACAGGGTTCAGGGTTCACAGTCCAGATAAACCTAAGTTTATGTGACTTCGGGAACTATTTAATTTTGTTGGTTCACAAATGCTTTCAAGTGAGTTATCAAAAGGAAAATAATATTTGGCCACTATGAAAGTTTCAATCAACAAAACAGTGAAATAACATAGAGGATAAATATAGTTTTACTAGTACAGATACTGAAAAAACCTACAATTGAAGGTATTAGAAAAAATACAATTAAATAAATTACATCAACTGAACACTAATGTAAGTAATTGGGGGGGTGGGGAAAAGGGAGGGAACACTGAATCCTAATATGAAAATTATAGAAGGAAGATAATCTGCTGTAGACCATGGTTTGCCTAAGTAAGTAGTGTGGGTCAGATCATGCACAGAGGTTGGTCAAACACTGATGGAAAGTGAATGATTACTGAGACTCAAAAGGCAGATGTCTGGGCCAGCGGCTTAGGAGTGGAGATGGCATGCATTGTGTCAGGCAAGATGGGGGCTGAGGCTAATGAATTCAAGTGAAGAGAGGAGCAGGGAGAGGACTGAAATTAAATGAGCAGGCAGTTTAGGTGGGGAGATATCAGAGGGAGTTACAATAAGGTAAGGAGGGGGGCGGAAGTAGGCATTGGTCAAAAAGGCACAGTAGGATCCACAGTAATAAAGATGCCTATTTTCTTTTTCTCTTTTCTAACTTAGAAATATTACAATCTAGAAAGCGGCATGCAATGAAAGCTAGCCTGAAGTTTTACATGAACCCAAGAATTACATTAGAAATAGGGCTCTTGTTTAAACTGAGTGTCACTGTTTTGGTAGAATGCTCTCCTTTCATTTGAATATTGGTGTACTTCTGCTCATTCTTAAAGGCCCAGCTTAGACTTCACTTTCTATGATGCCTTTCCTGATCATTCTCCAAGCTACTTCCCTTCCAAATCTATGCTCTTAAGTTCTCTATACTTAAAAGTACAATAACATCACAATGATTTGTCAGTCTTTCCTAATACATTATAAATTTTTTGAAATCAGAAACTAACTCTCCTATTAAAATCAGCAAATGTTTTGTTTTGTTTTAAATTGGGGAATTGGGGGAAGGGGAACAGACAAGTTGCTGTCCTTTTGTTCTTCAGTCTAGTTGTGGAGGACGTCGCTTCACTGGCCCAAGTTGGC